TATATATATATATATATATATATGTAATCTGCTACAAACCTTTTCCAAAACAAATCTACAATTGCCTGGGTATGTCGCCATTGTTTTTTACTCTGGATCTCTTCCACGGGGCTGATTGCTGCAAATGGCAATGATGGATCCTGCCGTCCCATTAAAAGCATGTTTGGTGTCACTGGATCTACATCAGATATGTCAGATGATGTATAACCTAAGGATTTGGAATTAATAAGTCCCTCTACTTCAGCTACAATGGTTTGAAGCACGACTTCTGGAACAATACGGTCTTTGATAGAACACTCTAATGCTTGTTTGATGGATTTTACTTCTCGCTCCCATATTCCACCAAAGTGAGGAGTGTGAGGATTTTGGACGCTTCTGCAAGTCCAAAATCATCTGTTTAAAACTTTCTCGAAACTCGCTCTCTGCTCCAATAAAATTCGTCCCACAATCACTAAATACCTCTCTAGGAGCACCACGTCTGGCGACAAACCTCCTAAATGCCATCATAAAGCAGTCCACACTCATTGATGTTAATAACTCTATATGTATAGCTTTGGTCGTCATACATTTGAACACTAGACCCCACCTCTTTTCAGACCTTCTTCCAACTTTTACCAGATATGGCCCAAAGCAATCCATACCAGTACTGTAAAAGACTGGCAATCCTATACGAAGTCTGGCTTCTGGAACATCTGCCATTCTCGGAATACTTGGTTTTCCTCTCCATCGTTGACAGTCTAAACAAGTTCTTAAAATGGATCTGACAGTGTTACAGTTGTTTTGTTTTAGTCGACTACTGTTCTTTAAGTCTAACTTCTTTTCCATAGAATTATACTGGTGAGGGAAGGAATCTTTCTGTGCTCTTCTTAGCATTAGAACCTCTAACTTTCGTTCCAAATCTGCATGAATTTCTTTGTCATTCCCATATACTTTCTTTCGATACGCTTCTAGGAGTATTTATGGAAAAATTTATATGTAAAATAATTGTCTATAGAAAGAATATTTAAAATATTAAAAATCATTCCTCCCATGTTTAATAACATAATATAAAACAAGCATGTTGCTTACCATGCCTCTTCGGCGTAGGTATTATTTCCATTCACAATAATTTATCGTAATATTACTTGCACAAAAGTGAAATTCAAAAAGAGGAAAAAAACAAAAACCTCTTGATTGACTTTAAAAGTACTGTACATGCAAAATACTAAATTAATGACTGTTTTAAGTTTATCATATTTGTTTTTCATAGTTCGAATTTTGAATACGTTACAAGCTAATCATTAGATAATAAATCATTTTTATGAATGTTAGTTTGCACGAAATATATAAGCGGGCATAATTATGACTAAAAAGGATAATTTTAAAAACTTTTTATGATGAGTATTTCAGTGGCAGATTCAAGTGGCCCAGCCGGCCCACCTTCACTATTTTTTGTCAAAATTTAAAAGTGGAGAAAAATTAATCTCTAATCTCTTCTGGTACGGCTTCATGTTCTTCGGGATGGTGATTCAACAGGAAATCAATTGGTAGCTTTGGTTGTCATCCAAACCTCAGACAAATATTCAGACCATCGGCGTTTCTGGTTATTTGGTATTGATTTTAGTAAATCATGTAGGGTTCTGTTGAATCGTTCTGCCTGCCCGTTTCCGTCGGGATGATACGGTGTGGTTCTAGTCTTCGTTACCCCATACATTGTCCATAGTGAACGAATAAGCGAGGAATCGAAGTTGCGTTCCTGGTTGAAGTGTTTGAGGAATACCAAACTTGGTGAACCATTCCCTTACCAATACCTTTGCTGTTGTTTCTGCAGTTTGATTCTTGGTCGCAACTGCAATTGGGTATTTCGAGAAAACATCTGTGATTACAAGTACGTTTTCTTTACCAACAGAGTCCCCCTCAAGTATAGTAAAATCAACAGCAACAACTTCCTTTGGTTTGGTCTCGGATTCTAGGTCCAACTTTTGCTTTCGAACACCGATCACATTGTTCACACCATGAAGTTATGTGTTCAAACATCTTTGGCTAGAAACAACGCTTGCGTACTAAACTTGAAGTCTTGTTCGCTCCTTGGTGACCTGATTGATCATGACAGGCTTTCATAACATCCTCCCTCAAAACCTCAGGTAAAATCAATTGCCACTGATCTCCATCAGAGCTCACTCGGTAAAGCAGATTATCTCTCACTCGTATACGATCCAGCTGTTGTAGAAGTAATCAAACTTCTTCGGTTTCGAGACTTCTCTGATCTCGGTTTGGTTTACGGTTTAAACTGTTGGTTGTCATATCCAGGAAAAACAGGTAATGCGTTCAGTGCTTGCACATGAGCCTGGATGTTACTAGGATTAGAATTGTTCAGGTTAATTAAACTTTCAGGAACACTGGTCATTCCAACTGTCTGTTTAATGTCTTCGGAAGTTACAACAGGATCTTCATCCCTATGAGGTCGTCGAGATAGAGCATCCGCAGCTTGATTGCTTCGCCCAGGCTTGTAGTGAACATCAAAGTCGAATGATGCTAACTCTCCAACCCACCGTTGAGTATACTGCATCTATCTTAGCTGACTTGAGATGAGCAAGTGGATTATTGTCGGTAAAGACAATGAACTTTGTTCCAAGCAGGTAATCTCGAAACTTATCTGATATTGCCCATTTCATTCCTAACAGTTCAAGTTTCATGCTAGAATACTTCTTCATGTTTCGTTCGACTCTTGCCATCTTGGTTTTGAGAAAGTACTGCACCCAAACCTTGGGACGAGGCATCGACTTCAACTTCAACATGGAGAGGTCCAACCGTCAGCGAAAATCTAAATACAAAAGAACAGAAGCCTAAAAAGGACCGCAGCTCTTTCACTTTGCATGGTGTAGGCCAATCTCTAACTGCTGTAATTTTTGCTGGGTCTGCCATCACTCAGTCTCTGGTGATAATATGTCCTAGGTAAGATAAGATGTCGTCCAGATAGCATAGAACAGATTTAAAGAATTGATCTCGCAGACATGCTTGCATCAATCTTTCTCCTTAGAATAGGATACAAATCTTTAATGGTTTTCTCATATACGGCGGTGATGAGCAATGTATTTTGACAATGTTTACACTTTTAGCATTACATATCTTAACAGTAACTAACTGGGCCAAACGGGTTACGACACCGATTTCTCACCGAAGGACAATACATTTTTTATGTGAATCACGCCCTACAGTCATTCATGCATACATCATTTTACTAAAAAGAAATATGAATGTATTTTCTTTCCAGTATTAAATAAATAGATAAAATCAATTAAAAGATTGAAGCAAACTTACATTGCAGTAATCAGAGTGTGTAGGCCCCTGGTTCTTAAAAGGTGGCCCGCAGGCCAAATTTGTCCTGCGAAGAAAATTATTCTGGTCCGCTAGAAAAAATATAAATTATACAAAAAAATATTTAAAGAAACTGAAAATAATAACCATTTAATGAATAATATAATATATATATTTAATGAATAATATAATTTTAATAAAGCGAAGGCCAAAATGAAGTAGGGGTGGCCCATCCAGATCTTGAATTAAATCCGTTACAAACCAATTGACAAACACCAAAAGATTGGTAGTTTTAGTTCAGCTAAATATGACATAGCAGATTAAAAATAAAAACGTTACCATAGACTTGTTTTTATTATGAGTAGACCAGAGATTCTACTGGTGAAAAGGTTTTAGGCTTTAAATCTCCAGTATTTGGTGGATATAGGATGGGTGAAATTACAGAGAAATACATACTGTGTGCCAAACTATTAAGTTGAACAAACTTTGTATGACTGTTTTTACGATTAGTGTGCCTGTAATTTTATGTTTGGTTTGAAAATACTCCTACAGAATGTTGTTGTATGGACGCCAAAGTAGGTAACAGTATTTTGCTATGAGTAAACAAAAGCAAAATTAGTTTTACTTTGTGGAAAAAAATACCCATTTCAGGAAACTCTACTTCACACAACAGTTAAACTTGCACAAAGAAAGGAAGACAGGACAATTACCATTCTCCGACAACTAAAATAAAATATTTTGCTTTAAGGTGCCTGACTACTTGAAATCGACGAAAATCCCGAGATTTGTTTAATGTCATATGTGAAAATTATTCATAAAAACCCCAACAAACTATATATTTCTGGAAAGCTAATTAAAAGACAGAACTAGAAATGCAATCAAAACACAATGTTTAATGTAACCATACAAGAGTTATAACTATGGTAAGGGAGGCAACAAAATTTTTCAAAAATGTAAATAATAATTTCAAATTGCATCTTCTCTTTCAAACATGGTTAGATTAAGATTTGAAGTACTGATTATGAATGCATATATAGTAAAGAAAAGATGCTATGACTAGAACTTCTAGATTGTTGTCTGAACATAAAAAAAAATTTCTTATAGAAAATCATAGAATAGCTGTAGCCTGTAAAGACAAATGTGTGCTGAAAATTTGGTTCATTTTGGTTGAAAAACAAAAATTTAGTTACAAATTTTGTGATAAATATGCAGATTTGAGAAACAAGCTCTTGAATATTTTGTCGCATCGCGTTGCGCCGTTTCACAACTTTTTGCGTCTTGTTGGGGCACACTGAAGCTGAAAAACAATTATTTCTCAGTAATAATTCATATTTTACCCTATTTTATGCAATTGTACTACTTTATATGATAATTAATTGAAATACAGTGTCTCATTAGTCATTAAATTTTCCTGCCCCGTAATCTTCCTCGCCTGCTAAATGTTGGCCGGCTATCGCTTTCTTTATATTTTGTCTCTTTTTTTTTCTTTCCTCTCTACTATTAGCTTTTGAATCTCTGATTCTTTCCTGGTCTTTCCTGATTAGGGCTTTTATAGAATGAATATTCGTAGGAATATCCATGTCTCGCATAAAGTTCCATCGGCCGACGCTTCCCCGGTCCCATGCCAGAACAGCTGAATACAGGGCTCGTTCAACAGATTTTGCGCTCGAATATACCTCTTTGGGTGCCCTTTTCCAAATAGTCCTATTGAACGCTGCGTTTGCATTCTGCGTTAATCCAGGAGCACATCTCTTTAGTAGATTGATGTTGCTCAATCGTTCATAAAGTGGCAGCATCTCCGCTAAATATAAATATATATATAAGCCTTTTCTCATCCTCTTGTGAACATGGTTCACACAATCTAGTTTGCTGATTTTAAAATCTATTCCATATGGATGGTGTTTATCATTTAAATCATTTAGCGATTTTGAATTTCTGTGTGCATTTCCCACTCTCAAAATGATTATAGTGCCACACCATGTAGTCATCAGAGTCCTCGTCATCGTTTGCATGCACCTGACATTCCCTACATTCTTTAGATAGTACAATCGAGTCCAAAATTTTACCAGTGTCAACAGATATGACGACGCCAACACCATGGGTCGAACTAAATCCACGATGATGCCAAGTTCCATCATATGATACTGGAATGTCAATTACAGTATCCGGATCACCCTCCTCCTCCAAGTATAGTGACCGTACATTCTCTGCTGCACGGTCAAATTCCTCCTCAACAGCTTTTAGTAAACCAGAAAGTAGGGTTTTGTTGGTTTCATTCCAGGCTTTTTTCCCCGATGGTGGTGGCATATTCAAAACACTACATATATCAGTCATAGCCGAATGTCCAAGTCCAACCTCATTCATGGCATAGGTAACATTTTAGTTTGAGCTTGGAGCACAAACCCCTTCTTTTTTCTGGCAATTCCACAACCTGTAAGTAACCTGAAACGTGACCAAAAAAAAAGAAAATCGAGCTTCAGTTAAGGAAGAAAAAGAATATTTTATTAGAATAAGTATATATTTAAAAAATAAAGTGATTATTTTTTTACATTTAGTTACCTTTTTCACATCTGTGAGCACACTTCAAGGCAGCGTTCAGGCACTCAAGATCAATGAGTCTGTACCCGGTCCTGTGGTCTACACCTTCTAAGTTAGCACATTCTTCTGTCAGCTTGTCAATATTAGATTTCAGTTTCTTTTCAGAAGTTGTTGTAGATTTCGTATTTACACTGACCGGTTCTTGTTGCGGATGAACTGGTGGGTTAGGCCTGAGGTCACGACAAAGGTCACCTTCATCTGAACCTACTTGGCTGGGGCCAGCACCAGAGTTGGACCCCCTAGCCTCTTGTTCACTAGGCCTAGCTAACATATCATTATCATCTTCAATTCTAGGCATCTTATGCCATGGAATTCCCTTGAATCCTGATGACTTACGCTTTTTAGGCATTGTCAAACACAGACTTACTTGAAATTTGGCAAGAAATATAAAATATTGTATATAATTGGAGAGTAAATTCTGAACACACATGTATAGCTTTCTGGATAATTCTAACAAGAGAGGGCAGCATATCATACTGTTATAACAGGGATTTAGCTGTGTGTTGAGTCTATGAGAAAAAAATATTAAAAAATTGAAATTTTAATATGATAAACTAATCACTTCCTGTCATGAAAGAACTACTTCCTGTTTGTGACCTTCGTGACCTCTGCTATATAATTTTAAATTTAGGGTTAACTTGGGTCGCACAACACACAACAGGGGGCTTCGGCCACAGCATCTCAGAATTTTACCTTAGGTTCATAAAGTATAACAAGTTGCTTGAAACTCGAAGATTTTCTTTGGCCTGTGTCCAAATCTGAAAATAGTTTGGCCTTCAAATAAATTAATTAAGAACCAGGGGTGTAGGCCTGTGATCGACTGCGACACACAAAAGGGTGCCCTATTTTATCTTCCTCTCCTTAAATTCCTAAATTTCTAAATTTATATTCGCAAATAAAATTTTATTTTCCCCGCTTCCACTGGGATACTTTTGGCTGGAATATTTTGCAAATAAAATTTGATTTTTATCTTTTTTCCGCCCGTCCCTGAAGATTTTTCAAAAAATTAGGTGCGCTAAACAATGTATTAAAAAAAGTGTCACCTAAATCTAAAAAGCTATACAACACAAGTCCATTAATCGAAAAATAGAGTATACAGAGCACTACACCTCGGTTTCACGCAATTCTGCTATACGCTATAAATTACATTGGGACTAAAAAAATGTCTCCATAAGAAGGGACACAAACTAAAAATTTGAAATTGTCCCCCTTAATAGGGGTTTTTAGCATGCTTTTATTGACATAAGAATCAGTTACATTAAAATTAGAACTAATTTATAGCAATAATTTGCAATGCAGCAAATACAATTCATAAAAATATGAAATGAGCAGAAATGTAATTCAAACAACCATAGCACACTTGTTTATGTTCCGTATATTATTTCATGATGCAATGTTAATGACCAAATTTTATTTTTAATATTGAGCATTATTTTTGGATAAGAATTGTAATTGGACCAGGGATGCCAGGGCGCCCTCACACCAATCAGATAACCAAACGAAAGATAAATGCTCCTGAGTAGAGATACTTCTTGATTTATTCTTCCATAAAGTGGTAAAACTGAAACATATAATAACAAGAACTATTAAATACTAGTTCATGAAACAACCTGACACTTTCAATTATTAAAAATGAGTATAGGTAATAGTATAAATTTGCAAGGTATACAGTACACATGCACATTAAGCTGCAAGGGCTTAACTAATGGCAATCAAGTAAGCGATGGGATAACATTATTCTTGTAAACACAGCACAACATGTACCAATCCAAGATTCAAAACGTAGCTGCTACTGAAACTTTAAACCTAAAAATAAACCACAACATACTGCATCCCTTATTACACGTCGGAAATTCTAGGAAAAATTGGCGAGACAAATCATGCATGAAAAGGGTCAAACGGCGTCCAATGCTAGCTATAACTCGCTGTAACATTACATAGAATAGGAATCGTAAGCTACACATTAAAATTGGGAACTCCCATTAATTCCTAACTTACCAGACTCATAACTGGCAATAATTAAAACACTGGGAACAACATTAGAACTGCTAAAATCACAATTTCCCATACTTCTGTTCCAATTCAAAATGTCGGCGCCAAGCAACCGAAGCTGGCATTTCCTTAACAACACAACAGAGGGCGCCATTAAAGCTATCGCGATCAGCACACTCCCCCCTGTGATGGCCACACCATCACAATAAAAATAATGTCAAGATTAGAACATTTAAAATATAGGCCTAAAATGTGTTACTACAATCTAACAAATGCATTCAGTACAAAATTGTTACCTCGAATGGATAACCACTAGCAAGTATTTTCTCTATGGTTACAAATCAGTAGTGGGTATGGCGTATATAGTATAGTATGTAATCAACTAATAATCCATTGTATTACTATATACGGCATACCCACTACTGATTTTCAATGGGAATTAATAGTAATAGTTCATTAATAGGTCTTAATATAGTCTTCCTGCAATCTCCTACGATGACTTCAACACTCGCTTTTCGTACATGTCCATCACTGCCAGATGCAATGTCGACTATGCGTCCTAATGGCCAGACATTGCGATGTAGATCTTGCTTTACAAGCACAATATCATTAACACTGATATCTCGTTTAACTGTCTGCCACTTTGTATGGGTTTGCAGCAGGGGTAAATACTGTTTACGCCACTTGGACCAGAACATATTTGATAAATGTTGTACCTGCCGCCACTGGCTGCACAATAGATCTGCATGATTGAAGACGATGACATCCGTGTCACTGTTATTGTCGACAAAGGGACTTTATAACATTCATCTTTCCGTACCCGATACGTGTTAGATCTCAACTGGGTCCCCGCAAACTTACGAATATTGCACCACTTGCCCTCAACTGACGAAACCAAGTAGCGGTGTCTACTACTAGATTTAGACAAGTCATTGTGTAAGTAGACAATCTCACCAACAGCAATGTCTGGGTTGGCACGTTGAGAACCGTAAGGGGCTCTGGACCGCTCACTATGGGCGTGATTAGTAATCCGTCGCTGATGTTGTTGAGAAATGATCTGTAAATCGTCAAGGTGAATTTGATTGTTAGAGAACTGCTCACGTTGGAACATGACCTCGGGTTGACAAACCATGAAATCTAAATCTTGTATTTAAAGTGGCGGTAGCTGTGGCAAGGGAAGCAGACGATACTTGGCCTCCAGTTGGGTCAATAATGTAAAGAATACCCGTGACACGTTTAAACGTTTTCAAACATCCTTTAATCCACAACATATAATCAAAGTTCACAATGTTAGAAATCTGCAAGATAACGATACTACTAATTACCATTCTATCAAATCTATAACAGTAACTAAAACTCTAAATCTAAATTAATCAACTGCTTCTTCACTAAATATGATAGCATTGGTTACTCATAGCTTTATTAATGTATAAAATGAGGATTATGAACTTACACTGTTTAACATCTACAATAAAGATTATAAATCACAGGAATTCTTATTCTCATCTCACATGTATACATGTGTATGCTACACCTTAGTGTGATCTCTGACCTTGAGAATGTCATTTGCTATTAAAACACAGAGGGCGCTGTCTAAGACTAAGAGATTATCAAAAACATTACACCCGCCCCCACAAAAAAACTAACTATTCATCGACATTATCCACAGGCACGAGTACTATCAGTCTCTGCACTGCTCGAGTTATCATTTGCTTTCCGTTTCTCTCTTCACCTTTTAACTGAACTTACACTGTCCTTACTTTGCCACTCATATCGGGATACACATCGGTTATCAACCCCATTCTCCACTTTTCACGAACCACGTTGCTGTCTTGCACCAACACCACATCACCGATCTGCATGTTTCTCTTCTCATGGTGCCATTTTTGTCTTATAATCAATGATGGAAAGTAATGCCTATTCCATTTTATCCAGAAAGCCTTGATTATGTTCTGGATAAACTCGACATGATGCCGGGGGTTATTTGTGATCTCTAGTCGTAGCACGTCCCAATAACATATTGTTTGGACACAGATAGCTGGCCCATCTGCTGTCCAGACATATCTCTTTCTCTTTTCTTGCAGGGTACGCAATGATGTCTAACACTCTTAGCCACTCTCTGTAGATTTAGTATCCAGTATCTCATACGAACCCGGGCCACAGTTGACTGTACTCCACAATGACTCCTTTTGTGCGCATGTGTAACGTATAACTTCGAAAATCTATGGTGTGCTGGCAATAGCGGCACTTCCTGGTTGTTGTAACTGAAATTAACATGTCTTTGGGCCCGAGCTCCCACCACAATGACACCATTGTCTCGAACTCCTGGGGATAATTTAGCATACTGGTCATCGAATCGTTTTTTGTCATTCAAGAGTTTATCCATTATGGGTTTCTGACATTCAATAATCCAGAACAACTCCGCATCGTTAATTGCCTTTGCTGTTGGTGTAGCTACAGCACCAGAGAACGTTTTCCTTTTGTAAATGTTCATCACTCTTGCCGTGACCTGCAGGAGTCTAGTGTAGCTACTATATCGTTCGATATTGATCCTGTCGGATAGTGTATCGACTTCTATGGCATCGGCAGTTATCACAACTTTGACTCTCTTTGGGAGGTTGTTCTCAGAACAGCTCTGCTATATTGGCCATTGCTCCACTTGATCTCGCAGAAAATCTGGTCCAAGCTGCCAGGTACTGTACTGCTCCGCTCAGCTCCAATCTCACAATACTGATGATAATGGGGCTACCCTGTTCTTGCTAGCAATTAGTCGACAAACATATCTACCGTCCTTGAGTAGGTACCTGGCATATGCAACAGCGCCAAATGCCTGTTCAGACCCATCTGAGAAAACCATGAGCGTTGGCCTTGTGTTTGGTTCTGCATCCTCTAGTTTAATACATCTGGGGAAGCAAATGCTGGCAATATCGGTTAATTCATTGAAGAACTGAAGCCACTGTTCTCTCATTGCATCTGGTAGCGTGTCGTCCCATCCCAACTTCTCACCCCATATCTTCCGGAGGAGTATTTTCCCTTTCACCGTGAACGGCGAGATCAAACCTAATGGGTCATAGATGCTATTAATACTGCTTAAACAAGATCTTTTTGTGAGAACCACTGGCCCTTCCCTTGACTCAACAGACTCCAGTATATCATAAACATAAACATTGCGCAGGATTGTGTCGGCAGCTTTATATAATTTATCCTTCCCTCGTTCGGCCGTTTTCCTCAAAAACTTCCTTGATAAGATGCGCTACTATTAAATACGATTCGCATGGGTGTGCTACTGCTGTCAGGCTTCATCACCGCATGGTGTGCAATGTAGTATATAGGCCCATCATAGCAATCCAGCTCCCTTTTTCCAATTTCCCTTGCAACATTTTGCTCTAGCATATCACTTATTTGAGCGTCATATGCGTCAGCTTTTGCTGGGTCCTTTCTCA